AGCGTCTCCAGCGCTTTCGAACGGCAATGTCCGTAGCTGTCTCCTCCTGATTGGTGGAGTTGGCCCAATATCCGTAGCGCCACTTTTGTGACGTCATAGAAGTGTTCAAATCTGGATCAGTCTGTATCAGATCCGTTGCAGCCCCTTTTTAAGAGATTTGGGTATGGAGGAAAATAGAGAGGGTTGTGTTTTCTGACACTTGGTGAGTTCCCTGGAACACCGGGGACACATATTCATGTATAAAAGACGTACAAAAGTGCATTTTCCAGGGAACTCACCAAGTGTCAGAAAACACAACCCTCTCTATTTTCCTCCNCCCCCCCCCCGGTACTCCGAGTCACGGGTCCCCCGGGGACCTCTTGATTTAGGCCGGAACTTGTACCCCCACATTTGTAGTACGAAACCCCGATATAAAGACGTTTCCCTGGTCACTGCTGACTAGGCACATTTCCTTTCTTACTTACCCCGGTCCATAGCACTCAAAACTCACTGTTGGAGGAAGGTAGTCGTTCCCGAACCTTCTACCTTTGCACCCGACCCAGAAAGTCGTACCTGTTACTAGGGTTTGTGTGACGGGCCCGTCTGCTTCCTCACCGAAGCATTTCGTAAAGTTCCAGGACCTCACCGGATCGGGTCAAGAGTCTAGAAGTTGGGGTATTCTTTTAGTAAACCTCCCTGAACTTTCCAGGCACAACGGTACGCTGTCGGGGTTTTTAGTAGACGAGATCTCGTCACTAAGAATTGGTCATCCCCGGCGCCGGGTGGTGAACCCGCGGTCGCGGGGGTCCTCCCGTGTTTTTTGAAAGTCAAAACGTGGACACCCGGCGTTCCCCCGGCGCCTCTGACGCACGTCGAAAAGCTGGTGCACCACCGCAAAAAAAAAAACAGTTAACCATAGAAAATAATGGTGAGTCAACAATTGTTCGCGGTTATGTGTATCTACTTCGCGTTTTTACCTCTTCAAAAATTTTTCTTTTTTACTTCTGCTTACAGGACGTTGGGGGGGTGGTTTTCTGTTCAAAAATGCCTTTATGTTAGAGCTGAAGTAATTTTATGCCCAAATGCATTTACCTTACTTGTCTCCGTCACGGTTTTCCGGGTCACACAACCTCACACCCGATTACGACGAGGTTGCTTCGGAGTTCGGGAGTTTTGATGTCGCCGTAGATCTCTGGTTCGGTGGGCTAGAGCACCCTTTCGGCCACCTTATAAAAATTCTCCTTCCTTTCACCCCGACGTCTACGTTTTTCGTCAGACAGCAGGTGACTGTTCGTTGAGATTTACACGTAACTTTGCGCTGCGATGGAGCATCGGGTCTTGCACACCGTGTCCTCAATTCTTTCGTAAGGGTATCGCCTCCTCAACCAAAGACGGACGGCGACACCTATACCAACGGTCACTCTACCAGCCTCTCCGGCGACGTTTTTTTCGACGACTGCCTCAGGGGAGAGTCTTTTTCTGTGACACTCAGTGCAAGGTGTACCGTAGTCTGGATATGTCCGTAAGATTGAATACATCTTTCTTATTTTTCGTCGGGAAAAAAAGAAAACGTTAATCTGCTCAGTGCCTACAGTGCTTACGACGTGACGACGAACAAAAACCAAGCGATAGCGACCTGTCATCAAACGTGCTTCTTATGACAAAAACACCACCTAACGTACCAACAAGTAACACCACGCCTACTCAATCCTACCAACATGACCAATATTTAGAATTTTCAGTCAATCTGGCATGTCAAATCGCACACCTATTTGTCAAAAGCAGGGACGTATACCTCATTCACAACAACGGTGTTTCAGGGCCGGTTCGGAGCTGGAGCTTGAAAAGCACCGGGTTTTCCTGTTCACACCGCAGCTGAGCAGCCTCTTAGCTCCGGAATCCGGTTTGTTTCAAGCACCAAAAAATTGTCCGGCTCGAGCAAAAGCACCGCATACGTCACGCTTACGTCAAGGCGGGGCAGGGGCGGGATCAACTCCTGAACAACAACAAAAAGCCCATGTTTTATCCAGCTTGTACACAACGATGGAGAAACTTAACAAGCAGCAGTGGTCCACTGAAGAGACCAGCTACCTACTGGGAATCTGGTACAGATGAAGCTGGAGCACAATCGGCCAATGTTGTTGTTGTCGGTGTGAGCTGTGAGGGGTTTCCGCGCGGTTTGGCTTTATGAAGCAGGCACGCAAACGGTTACGTCATGACACAAACGATGACGCAGCACCAGTCAGACTCTGGGCGGTGTGAAAAGAGCCGGAGCTAAACCGAAGAACCGGTTCTGAGCCTGAAAAGCTCAAGCACGGAGCTTGAACCGGAGTTGCGTTGGTGTGAATGAGGTAATAGTCCAACCAAAGTAGGTCTAGCCTTTCGCCCTTTCAGTCAAAAATCACAAGACAAAGATACAATGGATAAGATCTCAAGACAGTGTATGGCTCAAGAAGACCTAGGTAATATCAATAAAAACCTCAGAACAGCACCCCACTTAATGCCAACATATGACTTGCTGGCTGTACAAGTACACAAGGAGTTCTATTTGTCACAAACATCGAGAGTTACAAAAGTAAAATATGTAGTGAAATTGTGTGGTTGCTCAAGGGTGGGGCTGTGATTCGGCTATACACCACCGCCGCCGCGAAGTAATAAAGTTGAGCGCATACATAGTGAGACTTACAGTACAGAGACCTACAGTAATTTGACCCTATGGAAAAGCTGTGTTATTTATGGCGAAGTGTGAGTGTCATTTAAAACAATGTATGATGAGAGAGGTTGTGCCCGAAAAAAGAAAAAATTAAAAGATTCTTTTTTTTTTTATCTTGTCACTGAGGGCCCTCTTTGCTCAAGGGCCCCTAGGTACTTGCCCAGGTTGCCCATATGGTTAATCCGGCCTTGATCAAATATGGTTAGATTTCTATACTTTTAAACCTCCGCATGTTTTGTATTGTGGGACATGCTTTCTTGTTAGCAGATTTCCGTTTTCGTTCACGAGTGATGCTATTGAGATTAAAATGGTTTGATGTACAAGGACATGCAGCAGATATAAAATGTTCCTCTTACACTGCTTGAAAGCTTTTTCGGAAATAAACAGGGGCTTGATTTGTATCTCAAGGGGTTTACAGTGGCTTTTTGGGGGATGAAGAAACACGAAATCTACATTAAAAGCCTGAAACAAGACAGCACTGCATAACAAAATTAACTTTACCATAAAATAAACCTGCTCATCATTCTTCAACTGAGCAGGCCGTCTAATAGTGAAGCATAAACTCAGACCTATTGTGCTGCTATATATTCAGAAAGGGTTATATTATGACGAGTGCAGTTGTCTCTGGTGTCAGAGAGCACTCCACAAACTGATGAGGGAGATGAGAACAGTTTGTATTGGGGGCTTATTTGAAGAAAACGTTAAACCTGCAAGAGACAGGTCACGGTGAGTATGTCCCAGAGTAAGATGACATGTCAGCCTGGAGGTTTCAAACTAACTCTTCTGAGGTGCCTCATAAATGACACAG